CCCGAGGTCTGTGGGCCCCGGTGACAGATGGTTGGCCACCTCACTGGGTGGCTGTGGCTACAAGGTCTGTCGTGAGGCTGATTTGCGGCATTGACAGCATCACAAAGATCAAACGACATTGTGGAAGGTGAAGAGACGGGCCAGAGAGAACAGGGTTAGGGGTCCACCAATTTGAGAGTTTTAAATGTTAGCCCTAACTCACCATTGTTCAAAACTAGTTACGTTTTTACACATACTGAAAAAGTCACAAGTATTGGCAATTCATGGAAACATTAAGCATCATGGGACACAAACAGTCTGCACTAAGAACCATCTATAGCTTAAGGAACATGGCTTTGATAGAGTACCTGATACTCCATTACTTCCTTATCCATTGTCAACTGATGATCTCCATGACATGAGTTTGTTGAACCTCCCCTACAACACAATTTCCTTTGTTACGTTTTATTCATTAATCAATAATGTCTCTTGTTAATGCATTCACGATTTAAAGGCAGTGGTAAATCCCAGAGAGGCTCGTCCATTGAAAAAAAATGTAGTGAGTCAAGCTGCCTGAGAGAGACGCTAACTTGACTATGTTTCATTTCAGATCTAACCTAAAGTAATTCAGTGTCCCATGATGTATATACTGTTCCAGATGATTGTTTGCATCCTAACAGGAACCCACTTCCTTCCATTTTTTTTTTCTATCTTTTGAGCAGAAAACCATTTTTTTACATTTGAACATTTGTTTAGTAGCTGTGTGGATGTTATCAAGAGTTATAAATGTTTGTAAATGTTGAAAATTACATATCGTAGTTTATTGAAAAAAGGATTAAACCTCCTTGTCAAAACATCTTCTTAGTTGAAGTGTTTTTTTCTTTCACTGTGCATCTGATACAATTACTGCATTCATGCTGAGAACATAATTTCACATCTCATCCTCAAGAATATGCCTGTTAAGAGAGACAAATATATATACCACCCAAAATGTTTGATTATCTATTTAAATCTTCATCAGGAAATGCGAGGCAAAATACTACCTCTAAATGGGAAATTAATTCAATCAAGAGTAGACAAAAATGTTGATGAACTGTTACAGGCTGCTTACATGTACCTGTAATGTAAAAAGAAAAACCTGCATCACATCAGCAGAGACAACGCGAGAGGCCAATATTCAATTTCAAATTAAAGTGTAAAGTAGCCCCACGCTGTGTTCTCATTTTGAGGGACTGTTTATTAAGACACCAGCATTACAGAAAACAGCTTTCATCAGGTTTCATCACACTCTGATGAAAGATGTTTGCACAGACATCGGTGTCTTTACAAAGTCACAGAAATGAGAACATCACGAGCTGCAACTTCAAATGAAATACTGTTCTGCCTTATCTAATATGTGATTATATACCATATGTATATGTGAGCCCATATGCATAATGTGTGAACCCATATGTATATTTAACTATACGTCAGGTATTATCAGTTGCCTGAGGTGATTATGTACACACAGATCGACTGCAGAGATGTGCGTTAGCAGGTAGTTTACACCATGCGCAGGGTGTCAGTCTGTCACGAGGCTGGGCTAAATGTTATTACAATACTGAAGACAGCTTTGACATACATATATGTCTTTTTACCAATGTAGTTTCAATTGCTTTTGTTTTCCTGTAATGTTTCTCTTGACTACTACAATGCGGAATGTGTTTACATCTCTAAATCTGGCATGATTTGTTAAAATAAATGGTATCATAAGCAAAAAACTGTCTATTTTAGTCTATGTGTGTTTCCCAATGCATTGCATGCACTGAACATTGTGTACTGCTCAACAACATTTCATCGCTTATGTGATGTACCAACATTTTGACAAGCAAAAGACATAAAAGTGTTTTTACGAGTGTCTGTGTAACTAAAGACTTGATAAATCTTCATTCAAAACGAGCACAGCATCAACTCTCCACCACCACCGCCCCGTGGGCACAAGAGATCGGGCCCTTCAGGCGATTAGCCCGTCTTACGTTCCCTGTGATCGGATTAGACGATTCCCACAGTCTAGTCTGAAACTACTCCCGACCCGCAGCTCCGGAGAGCATCTCAATATCCAATTTCACAGCTTTCTAAACCTGGATCACGGAGGCTATTTATTACTGTCACAAGCTTTTGTGTTGGGGGGGCGGAGGGGTACGGCTTTTGTGTTTCATCTGCTCCGTAGCAGGAAGATGATCAACAAGAAAGTGAAAAGTGTAATGAGTGAGGAACCAGTGGCGTGGCCTGAAACCCTTAAAAACATGGCAGCCCCGCTAAATTAGACCAGGCCGACGCTGCAGTCAGCAGCTTCTCCAGGACCTTTGATCCGCTGAACACAATTATGACCCAGTGAGTGTGTGTGTCCTACAGCACATTGTGGTGTGTTCTGTTACTGACAAAAGAAAATTGAAATGAAAAATGTTGACTGCAGTCTGAATTTGGAAAAAACAAACTTCTGGAGAAAATTGGGATGTTCTGGGAAGTTTGTGATTACACCTCAGAATTGTTTTCAGGAGTGAAATATAAATGGTTATGTGGTTTTGGACAGATGTAGCCTTAGTTCTGGTTGGCTGGCTAAAATAGAGCCCCCTAGATAATAAAACCATTTATAAGGCAGTCTTCAACCGGACCAGCAGCTGTAATAGGGGCCTCCATTATAGAGGCTTTATAATTTCCTTGCTTTTTCCTTTTAGAGCCTCTGTTGTTCCTCTGAATTACCCCTGAATGATTTATGCTCACTGGTCTGGCCACTGATAGACCCTGGCAACACAGATAGAAACACACTTAGGGCTTTTTGGTGTGTAAACACACTGTATTAAAAGCCAACTTGTTTCAAACAGCCAAACACATTTGCTGTGGCGGGGGCCGCTTGGTGTCATTTCACTCGTCAAACACCACAGTGTCACAGCCAATCAAGGGACTCCAGGGGCAACACAAGCCATTTAACCTGAGCAAACAGAGTGTGTCACGAAGCCCGAGGATGACTTAAGAGCCTGAGCAAACACTGGCGAGAGCCATCGGGCACGAATCAAGGCTGCCGGGCTGAGGACAAGTCACTCTCGTAATGGCTTTGTGATGACTCAAGATCGAGCGGCCATCTGTTTGTTACAGTGGGGGAGGCCCACAACTCGCAGTTCAGATACACAGAATATTAGCTGGTAGTGCAGCAGAGGAGGGGAGGATTTGGCCGGTGGCACAGGATGTAAAGCATATGTCCATAAATGGTAAGTATGCTGATAGCTGAGGCCCTGATAGCCTGAACTGGGGCCAGATAACAGGATTTGCATGGAGATTTTCAGCCTGGGTGAAACAACACCTTCAAAGGTGTAAGACAAGTAATCCTGCAAGTGACAATAAGCCCTCACTACATACAGGTGGAAAAATACTGCATTAGAAACTCACCGCTGACATGAAAAACTCACCACATATTTAAAGCACCAGAGAGTTTGCATGAGATTTCAATTATGAGAGTTTGAATAAACCGCAGTCATTTGTGTCCGGTCTGTAACCGTGAAGTTCATTTGAACAGCAAAAGTCAAACCACACAGCCTCGGAGGCCTCACACAGGGCTGTGACCAGGGCTTTAGAAACAGGTTAGCCCCCCCACCCCCAACATAGCACCCGCTAAAAATCCAAACAGACACCTAGAAGAAAGCAGGAGAGGAATACTTAGTCAGATCCTTGACATAAAAGCTGTGTAAAACGTGGAATTTGCCATTCAACCTAATGTGAATTGTCCGTGTCAATGTTATAGTCAGCAACATTTACTAATATTTACTCGTAGTTTGGGAAATGAAGTTACTAAGTACACTTCTTGAGTAACTACTACTTGTTAAATGTTATAATAATTTGATCCTTTTAAAATGTAATTAATTTAATTTTCTTTAATTTAATAAAGGTCTAACTGCTGTGTTAAAGCCCTCTATACAGTCAGGAATACAATTGAAATTATTTAAAGAAAGTAAAACCTTAAAAGCAAATGACATCTCACAAATACCCAGCATGCCGAGTGAACAAAGTCCATTTCTCAAAAAGAAGCTACATTAAAAGGAAGTGTTTTGGTACAATATGTATGAACGGACATGTTGTTTATCACAGTCGGTTGTGTGCCAGGCAGCTTTTTATATATATTTATAGTTTGAGTAATATTATGTTAGTACAATACCTTGTTGCTTGTAAACAGGCAGGTTATTGCAACAGATTATTGCCATTTTAAGGGGAAAGCCCAAATGAGAAGTGTCATTCATCATATTAAAAGCGTTACTGCTGTTTTCTGGTTTGCACATGTCGGATTAGATGTTGTTAAATATCCTCAGGGAAGCAATCAGGTGTTTTAAGTTAAGGGCAATTCCCCGCTCTACAGACAATCAATAAAAAAATCTAAGAGAGGGGACTGTAATAGGGTTGGCTCGTAACCTGCTCTGACAAATTAAGGCAAGTAGTGTTTTTTCATTACTTACACATCCGTTTTCATTTTTCCCATCAGTGAAACCAATTAAACAATGCTTCCTTAAATTAGTCATTGATTTTTTAGCAATAGTGACACTTTGCCGAAGGAAATAATAACTTTAAGGCAGTGTTAGTGTTTTTTTTTTCATTACTGCCAGTCTTGTAAGAGCAGAAACAATTCACCTACATAAAAAGTAGTGTCTTAAATTAGTCATTGATTTTTCCTTAGGTGTCACTTTGGTTAAATGCTTTGTGGTAGGGAGTTTTCTCTCTAACCTGGAAATTGACAAGAGGCCACAATCTATTAGTCTTTCACACAGACACACACACACACACACGCTTGGGGATTGGGGTTTTCTCACTTCCAGTATGTAAATGTACGACCTAGAACTCTTATCAGCCTGGAAATAAGTGATAAACATAAAGTTTGAGTGTGGAAATCACAACAAAAGTGCAATACATAAAACTTCTAAGAGATGAACTACTACTACAGAACAACATTTGATGCAGTGATTGTTTAGGGAAACCATCTGAAAAGTGGTCATAAATGTGTTTTTCAGAACTATTTTATTACAGAATATTTGCTATTGCCAATCTCATCCCACACACGAGAACACCGAGAAACAAAACTCAGACCAGATTCTTTTTTTAATGCTCGAATAGAACAAAACAAATTAAATTAAAACAAAATGAAAAATAAACAAGAGAAATCCAGAGCAGCACATCATACCTGCTGCTCTTCCTTTCTTTCTTTTTCTTCCATGAGACTAGAAAAAAATACACTTACAATTTGAAGCAGCAACAAAATGTGCATTTACCTGATTATACAATGGAACATTATCTTATTATTATAACATGAACGTTTTATCATCACATTATAAACTCTTCATATTTTTTTTTACCAAAAAAAACCTTTTGTAGGTAATGCAAAATATACACCTTATGTTCACTTGGAACAAAACAGAGAACAAATCAGGAAAGTATTTTTACTTTACGTTTGATTTTATTATGTTTTTTTAATTGTTCAAGCCAATAAAATCTTTTGTAATTAGGGATTCAAATAATATCCCAAATGTTTTGATGTTTTCCACTTTAACTGTACATACACTTCATCTGTTATTCAATGAACAAACTGAATACCTGAATGGCAAAAGAAAGACTGCTGCTTTGATGTTTCAGAACAAACAAAGGAAATCTGCTGTTTACAGTGAATGTGATATTTTACAGCGGCCTGACGCTTTATTGATTATCCTAAACACAGGCCGTATTTTCATCAGCACAATTCGAGGTGTCTTTACTTTACTAACCCACGAGGTTTTTCAGCCGTTGAGAGATGCTCCAGGGGTTTATATCATCACAGCAAAAACACCTACATGATGAGATCTACAGTCTGATTGGATGAGTGGCAGAGATCATTGACAGACAAGAGGTGTTGTGATCAAACTGGCAGTGAGGCCGCTCTCACTGTGTGTAGCTAAATGTCTCTTTTATTATCACATTACTTTTTCAAGTCTATAATCATGTCACTTCACCATAAGAGCATCGTTACAATACGTTGCCAGTTTTCACTTTAAATGAGCGTGAAAGTACAGGATGGCTGATCGAGGCAAAACAAGACGAACAGAAGTGATCATCCTTCCCTTTGCTGCGAGTCTGTTTCTTTAGCAGGAAGTCTAAGATTCAGTCCTTGGGAGACCATGAGTTTGCCGTTGAGTCCTGTCTCTTTAGGGCGCCACATGCTCAAAATCATAAGAATAAAAAAACAGATGACTCCCACATTAATGTACAAACATAAACAACGGTAAAGAGCCAACCACATAGCTAGCCTCTGGCAGGTTAACACCGAGCTTCCTGTCCATAAAGTGCAGACTCCATCCTGCTGTACGGCTTGAACGTCAGAAAAAAAAGAGGATGTGTGTGTGTTTATGTGAGAGAGGAGGGGAAGCTCCGCTGCATGTGTGTGTTCAGTCTTATTCCCCGGAGCGACTGTGAATTAGAGGACAGTCTCAGGTGTATGGACGGAGGAGGCGGGGGAGGGTAGAGCGGAGGTGTGTGTTTCACGGTGGGCTGACGTTAATAAACGTATCCCTCGCTGTAGGGGTGCGGCGGGCAGTACGGCCCCTCCTGTACGTAGGCCATGTTTTCGTCAAAGTGCGACAGCGGCACCGTGTCCTCCTCGTTGATCTGCCGCTCCATGTCCGTCTTCAGCACCGGCCGCTGGTTGTCGGGAAACGCCATGGAGAACAAGGCCTCGGGGTCGCACACAAACTTGTAGACGTATCTCTCGCCGGCCACCTGGAGGGAGACGCACGGAACGAGAGAGGCTTTTTAAAATTGAGCCAGATTGTCAATACAAGAGCGCAGAGTCTCTATTTTCAACTGAAATATTGAAAATGTATAGTCAAATCCGATTATTCACTAAACATTTTTGGATACCCCTGACAAAAGTTAAACTTTACATGAACGTCTTAGAGACAGACAAAATCTCAGTGGGCAGATTTGTTGTTTTTGGGGGGGGGGGTTCTTCTTGATTGCTGAATGTAACTCTTTATCTCCGCACACTGAGGTTTAACTCCATCGGTGAGATCATTTGTGTCCCAACCGCACGTGAAATATTGGCTTTTAACACGTTTTGAGTCGTGAAAACACTACTAAATCAGGATTTAAAGGGTGTTGCTGCACTCTTGTCCAGGCTGGAAAAAGATCAGGACTAATTGTGGATGGCAAAATGTTGGAAATCATTTTTGTCATCTCTTTCTTATATTTATCTGGCAGTGACATTTTGAAGTTGCAATTTGATGGAAGTCAGTCAAAACGTTTTGAGTCATTTAATGTGAGTATAAAACATTACATTTCTTCATTTTATTGAAGGAAATGCACAAATAGTACTCAACCAAGGACCAAGTAATTCCATAATTGATAGTTTCTCAAGAATAAAGTGTACAAGAAGAGGTTTCTCTGCCTTGTCTTCATGAGGCTCATTGTTGAGATGCTCCACCTCATTATATAAATTACCTAGCACATGCTCCTCGAATCAATCAGGCTTAATCAGGTTTATAAGCTCCAAACTTTTCATATTTAAAACCGCAATTTTTCTTTTATGTTGTTGTAGTTCACTTGTAATTGTTGTTATATATTCTCTTATATGATTTGATTTACCTTTTGCATGATTCCCTTCTCGTAGTAGTAGCGCAACGACCGACTGAGCTTGTCGTAATTCATCGCCGGTCGATTCTTCTGTATCCCCCACCGACGTGCCACCTTTGTACCACACAGATAAACAACACAAAGGCAGTCAGCAAAAAATAAACAGAGAGCAGGATGCCAAAACACAAACAGACGCGGTCGACCTGATTTCCTTGCGGCAGCTGAAATGTTGAACAAACTTATTAATCCATATTTCCCTAATAACAGTAATTAGAGTGCGTCCAGCCTGAGCAGACCTGACCAGGGATGTGTTCATTAGGAGCTGTCACACACCCAGCGGAGGAGGCAGCAGATGTTACAGCACCTGTCTACCAGACCACCCACCACCCGGCCTCGCAGTCCAACCCACAGCCCCTCATTGCTCTCTTCTGCATTGCCTACACCCTTCACCGTCTTCTTTTGTTCAATTATATCAGGTTTTCTAGGAGCCTTTTACAAGAAAAATCCCATTGCTGTGTCTTTCCTCACTGACATGCTACAAAGGGCAGAAGCCGCTAGCTAACGTTTGTCTGCAGCGTCCCAAAGGGAGTACGTTTGGTCACCTGGTTGCATGAATGGGGCCCCCTGTTAGCTGCAGCTGGCCCGTGCCGCTAGACACTGTCGGGCTGCGTGGAGCGCTGCCAGGTACCCCTCTATCCCCCCCCTCCCCATCCCCCGCCTGCAACCTGCATCCTCCTCCACCCTCCAACAGTGGGCAACAGGGACTGAGCCCCACTGTGTGTGATGTGGGCACACACAGACGCAGCCTCTGTCTCCATTTAAAAAGGCCCAACCGTCAACATGGGTTATATCTTTAGGAGTACGTCCTGTGAAATATTTAGCAGGCGCTGGCTAAGGGGTCATTTGGATGAATGTGGTTGAGGACAAGATAAATAAAAAAGCCCTAAATCCAAGCCTGACTTGACCACTTAAGCACAGAGAACATTATTCATTCCACTTCAATTCACCTTTGACTTTGATTTGATTTTGCTTGGATGTGACACGCAACCGGTTTCTTTCATTTTGCTCACATGAAGCTGTGACATGCTGAAAATCCACATTTGCAACAGGCACAGATATACAGTACATGTAACACATTGTACTATAACTACTACTGACAATTATTTTCATGACAACTGATGAGCGGTTATTATTTTACATTTATAACAATAATATTTGAGTCTATAAAAGGTCAGAAAATTGTGAAAGACTTAAAATGACTGTTGTTCTACGTTCTATTGCTTATCTTTATCACACCACCATGTAAAAAAGAAAAAAGCATTTATTGATGTAGATTTTTTACTTGTATGTCAAGGGTCCTTGGTTTTAAATAAAAGTTTTTTAAATGAAATCTTTTATTCATAATGTAAAACTGAAACACAAAAAACATTTAAATATTAGTAATAGTGTTTCTCTGAGCCTCTCACCTCTTCTGGCTCGATGAGTTTGAACTCCATGCCGCGTCCGGTCCAGGCGATGTAGTGTGAGTTTGACGGGTCGTCCAGCAGAGCCACCAGGAACTGCCAGAGCTGCAGCGAGCCTCTGCGCTGGTACGACGGGCCCTCGCGGTACAGCCCGGACTCCTGCTTAATGTCACCTAAAGGACATGAAACACATCCTTAGCTTATGGTGTTCTAGCAATTATGGAGTAGTTTTAACGTAGAATTCAAAAGTTCTTGAGGCAGGACTCACCTTCAACCTTTTCAGGCACCACACAGGTATCATCGTAGAAATGCCTTGCCACTTTGTCAAACATACAACCTGAAAAACAAAGGAGTGTTATATAATATTCAGCAAGAATCCAAACTGAAAATTCACCATATTTACTCGTATCATCACTGGTACCTTCAGTCCTGTTAGCGTGAGCCAGATAGCCGTCTTGCCGTAAGTAGACAGAATGGCAGCTAGGCACTTCTGCTGAAAGGCAGTAAGAATGGGAGAGTGGGTGTTAAAGGGCCCGAAGGCAGTATTAAGAACACTATCTCAGTTATCTGAGAGCAGTCAAAGCTTGTTCACTCAATGCACCACTGGCTCTGATTAAAGAATATGCCCCCCAGCAACGGCCCCCAGCCACAAGCGAGCTCACTATATCACCCTGCTAATACTCGCTCGCAGCTTCGTCTCCACTCAGAGCAAGATGTACTACCCAGTGAGAACATGGTGCTCTAACACAACAAAAGCTGATATGGTGTAAGTTTTTTCATAATGTGTGGCATCAACATAAAACCTTTACACTATTTTTCTGACCTGAGGGTTGTCTTTTTTCCCTGAATGTTGTGTCACTGCAGCACGTTAGCTTGCGTTTTGATTTAAAAGCCCAGAATGTTCCCAATCAGGTTATACTATGAGAGTTTGGCATGAAATTAACAGATTAAAGGCTATGTTCTGCTTCAATTAAAACTAAGATTTCAAATGTGTCATATTTGAATGTTAAAATCCCAATAAATACTAAACAAAGATGTTTTATGTTAACATTGATTTTCTCTTATCTATTTCTAATTTTTAATTGTAAAAGAGAAATCTGAGATAATACAATTTAAGCCGCATTTTCAGGGTCTTTAAAATAATATGTGCAAAATATTGGAGGTGCTTTTCGATGATAGTTGTCAATTTAGTCACAACGCTTTGACACCTTCTTTAACATTATTATTTCTCTCTTCCATCGACATCATGGACTTTCACATGTATGCCTTGATTTTATGCAAAAATAATGAAACTGTAATGACACAAAAAAAGTGTTCTATCTTTTAAAAACCAAAAACCTCATCTTATTTGAAAGATCTTGCACCGTACATCCTTCAACTCCTTATCTTTCATCACGTCCTTCTCATAAACACCAGCCTGCATTTACCAGTTGCTTCACCACATTGTCCAAATTGACCATTTACTGTAAATGTCCGACCCTCCCACAACACAGACGTGGCTAGTGATCAGAAAACGGACAAACAGGTTACAAAGTGAATGTTCAATAAACAGACTGAGGCCCTTCATCTAGGCCCATAAACATTTCTCTGAACTTCATCAAAGTAATGGGCTTGTAGAGGAAATTGCTGCTAATGAAATTACCAGCTCCCCTCCCATCCTCTCCAACAGGCCTGCTCCAGTCAACATGCTCCACTGTGACGGCTGATAAATTCACTCTGATGCTCCGTCCTGGATATACATGATAGTGGACAAAACACTTGGCTACTACAAATCAAAATATACCTTCTCGTTCTCTACTTATGGTCTTTATAATAAGTTAAGAACATTATGTTACTGCTGCACTTATTGTCAGTCGGTAAATTGTATATCTAACATCCTGATTAGTGCTTGAATAAATAACTAAGTGAGGTATCGATAACCATTTTGATCAATGATTAATGTTAAAGCCAAATATCAAGTAAAATTGTCTTTTAAAATGTGCTCGATCAAGCTTCCTAAATGTGAGCATTTATTGTTTAACATTATTATGAATAAAATACATTTTTGTCTGAAATTGGATTATGGGAATTGTTGACCCTTTAGGACAATATAATTGATAAATCAATAAAAGAGATAAATTAATGTAATTCTAAATAATTGCTAGCTGCAGTCCTAGTCTTGAGACAAACCCTTGCTAATGGGCTACCACCTGATAGCTAGAGAGTGAGACACACAGTCATGAAACTCAAAAAAATACATCTAAATCAAAAGTACTTTGCACTAAAAAGTGGCAAAAACAAATGGTCTCCTTGACAAAAACTGCAAAACTGTTGTTCAGAAAGCAAAGGTCTGAGGTAACAGAGACCTGAGAGAAGCCCACAGTGTTTTTCTAGAAGTGATGATCCTGGGAAGAGGCTGCTTTTCTCCCTGACTGGTCCCCCTCTCTCTCCTCCAGCCTCTCCTGGGTCTTCTCTGTCCGCCTTGTGAATGAACCCAGCCGTCCGGCGTATGTTCATTCATGTCCTGATGTAGCCTCAGGCCTTTACTCTCAAACTAAAAGGGAGCGGACAAGCGTGGGAGGACGGATTTTGGATTGTGACCAGACACAGTCACCACCCCCCCCACCCCACCCCTTCCTCTTTTCTATTAGAGCACCACAGGAAATGGCGACCGGCACAGACACCCGGCCCAACCAGATCCCCTGCCCTAATAATGGGCAAACTCAATAAACGTCACCCCCTCCTCCCATGTCTTCTCCCATTCCTGAAATGATTACGCTCCGGCAGAAAGAAAAAAAAGGATGCTATCTCTTTATGACTGTTTCACAGAGTAGCTCAAGAATAACAGCACTTAAACAAAAATAATGTCTCACCTGAGTCGTAGGTGAAGTCCCGGGGCTCCTGTTTGATCATCATGGTGGCGGGGTAAGCGTGGGGGAGCGGGGCCCCCATCATGGCCGGATGTTCGAACAGTGGGTCGGGGTACTCCTGCTTGAAGCCTTGAGGAGGGAAGGGGATGTTGGGCTCTGACATCTGCCGGTGGTAGATGGGCCGGCTGTCTCGAGCCATCGTCGGCGGGGAGGGGAACGAGTGGCACGGCTCGGAGAGCTGACGTCGAAATCTGAGGAGGAACACAGAGTCATTATCAGATACATGTTCAATCATATATAAACAGCCATGAACTTAATTGTATTTACTTCTAGTCTGTGTACAGAGAAGAGTGATGAGAAAAAAGGGCAAGTAATAAGAATATGATATTACATGACACTAATTTAAGTTATCTGACTTATAAGACATAATATGTTACAAAATAATGTCAAAGGCAAACTTACTAGAATTCACTAAAATATGAAGACTATGAGAGATAAAGCAGGGCTGCAACCCATTTCCTGGATTTATTAATCGTTTGCTCAATAAAATAAGAGAACGTGGTCCTAAAAGGCTTTCAAGTTTTGTTTTAAAATCTAAAATGTTAAGCCAAGAATATCCACTATTGAAACACTTTTTGCTTATAAAAACACATAATTGATAAGAAAGGCTTGGATCATTTTTATTGAATACAAAATGTCAAGAATGAACTTCCATGCTCAAATAGGATTAGAGATGTAACAATTTGAGAAAAGTAATCAGGAACAGCACGGCAGAGAACATAACAACTACAGAACATTTTGAATACTGTACCAACTCATTGCCGTTTTTTCCCCAGACTATTGAGGTACATATCTGTCATTCAGATTTAGCCATTAGATAACATTTGTAGCAGTTGGTTGGCTCCTCCCATTGAACATTAACTCGACCAATGAGTTTTTGCTGTGACTAAAACTTGGATCTTGTGATTATCCCATATGAGCTGATAGCGTATGATGTAAATGTGATGTAAATGTGAAAGGCTGGGGGGTGCAGTACCTGTGGTCCATAGAGTAGGCGTTGTCTGGGAGCGGCTGTGAGGCGGGGATGTGGGCGTAGGTCCTGTCTGGTTTGGGTGTTGGAGCCGCAGTGGGTGAGGCATGATGGAGGGGGGACACAGGGGTGCTACAGGGGGGCGTCACGGGGCTGGAGGGCTTCATTCCTGCAGGCTGCTTCTGCTCATAGGCACTGTGGAAACCAGAGGAGAGAGAAGAGTCAAATATGGTCGTAGCACTGAGAGTGTCTTATTGGTTTGCTTTCTTGTCGAAGATGTCCGTACTGAATATGAGAGAGTAGGTTTCAATATTAAGGAACATCACAGCACCCTTTGGCATAAGCTGTGGAGATTGTGATGTAAAACAAGCCCTGCCAACAGTTGGACTTTGCATTTCCGTCAGCATGGAAGCAAATGAATCACACGTATGATTCACCACTTATGGAATAGTACCTCTTTGCATAAAAAGGTCATTATACGAAGATGCAAGCAGAATAAATGTCATGTATAACAAATCAAAATCAGTTCATTTGAATTAAAAAACATGAATATAATTGGCATAGAGTAATTTGAAAAAACAGATGCCAGCACATTTTGGTACATCTTATGGTCAACAGACATGACTGGTGAACTTATCCCACATGTATTTAGTTTTTGCACGTATTTATACTCTTTTACAATAAAGTTGTTATTGCTGTTTAAGGAAGTGGAACCAAATAACAGAAAGTGTCTGTATTGCCAAATTTAAATTGCCGAGGACTCATTAGTAAGTTTATTTCAGTGTCGTGCGGGGCCCACCTGACGTTGTACGGGCACTTCTCTCCATACTGGAGTTTGAAGGGCCGTTCCTGACTACAGTTGACGCTCAGCTCAGAACACGGGCTGTGCAGCTCCCTCTTGATCTTCAGCTGCAGTCCGTGGAAAGCCACTACACACCCAGAGAGAGAGAGGGAGGAAGATGGAGAAAAACTAATTTAGATACTGAATGTCAATGAGCCACCTCCCTACCAAAGAGTAACTTGTTAGGAATCAGAGAATGTGGTTTTGAAGCAAAGTGCAAATCATTTTTTTTAATGAAGGTGCATTCTTCTTTGTGTTGTTGTTAGTGCTCAGTATTTATTCATAGGTTTATAGCGTTTATTTCTTTAGGCAGAATCTATATGCCCCTAAAGTAGCTTTCATACGATCACTGGACTGAATTGAAATACATCTATTTAATTGTTTTTATCTGCTTTTTATGTCAGGTTGAGCCACCACCTCTATCCCTATTTACGTCACATCCTTAAAATCATTCACAAAAACAATCAACTTAATACATTAGACAGAAATTGCTGGGTAAAGTCACAGCCTTAATGTACATATAATGGTTCATGTGACTGTAACGCTTCCTCTGTGTACTACAGCAACTTTCACCATATTGGATAACAGCCATGATGTGTCCTATGTGTACTTGTATTGTCAGGCCATCAGCGATTAGTTGATATAAATAAGCAATAAGTTCAAATAAATACTTTTTTTAAGCATCCGTCCAACTACAGATCTGAAACAACTCACTTCAAATCTCATTTGTTGGGCCTTTTCCTGACAGGGAGTGAAATATGACAATCATAAATCTGTGTGGCGTGCTCCTATAAATGCTTTATCTGCTTTCAGCTGCCTGTCAATACGTTCCAGACGACAACAGTGCTCATTGATCTGATGGGGGGAGAGGGGGGGTGGGTGGTTGCGCTCTCTACCTATGGCCCCACTGTGAGCCTGCCTGGTGCATCTGAGAGGCTGTTAAGTGCCTGATCAGTCCTGATTAACATGCCATCATCTCAAGTCATGATCAACGCTAATCCAATTGGCTGCGCTTCTTAAGAAAGACCCAGTCAGTCAGAATGAAGTCAGGCTCAGGTTGCCGTCTCACCGCGACTGCACAGAGCCGCGGTGAGGCCGTCCCACAGCATCTCCCCGCTGAAGGGAATGATTTTTGACTGGCATTTCAGGCTGAGAGACAGCCTTTTTCCTGAGTTAAAAAACAAAAGGAACTGAAATTATGAATGAAGAAAGGATGTCCATCAACTCCTGGTTCAACTCAAGTAGAAACATTTAGACATACGATGACTAAAATACTCATATCTGTGGTTTGGGGATATTTTTGTTTTAAATACTCTCACAGTCCGGACGGTCTCTCAGGCTACAAGGAGCTGAGAGAGGAGGATGTTTTGGGGGCTGACTGACAGCTGCCGTACGAGCAGGGGTCGATCTGCCAACACCCCATCTGACGCACAGCGGAGCCCCTGGGGGGGGGGACGGGCCACACGGGCCCGGCAGGACAAAGCTCAGGGGTTGTTCGCAGCCCTCGCTGGGGGCCTGACCTTTCCGGGTCATCGATCGGAGGTCAAAGAGACACTTCCTGAGGGGAGACCTTTGACGACACTGGCATGGTGGAGCCTCGTTAAGTCTTACGGAGTCAAAACAATACCTGGGTTTTGAATGTGGAGATCACAATGTGTCACATTCATTACCTACTACAATAAACTTAGATTTATTTCTTCTTCAGAACAGAATAACTCCCCTCACTCCCGGTTTCAACTCACCTCATGCTAGATTTCATTTAGTTTCTCCATTTAACAGTAAATCAACACAATTTTTTTCAATATACATAGGTCTATAGAAATGGTTTGTTTAGTTATATGCGTCACATCACCTTTTAACAATAGCTTCACGTGTGCTGCAGTGCAGGGCCTTAAATTAGAAATGGAAATGTCACAATAGATTTCTTCAGCGGGGTGCCAAGGTACACAAATCAATAGTGAGGGTATTGCCTCGGACTAAAACAGAGACTTCCTTTTTAGTCCAGAATGTCATGCCCATCACCGGTTGATTGCTCTCATTATCTACATATTGATTAACTAAGATGGTAGGGTGTTTAAAAGAAGAAGCAGTTAGAACAATTACTGGGTCTATTTTAAATGCAAATGTTTTTTTCAATTTTTTTGTCACTGCTATTAACTCAATATTCTGCTACTGTTTTGTTTTTTGTTCTACATATGCAATAAAATATATTTTTTAAATGAAATAAACAATGTGTTCACCTTTTAAAAACCCATTTCTTTGTCATCCATGTTAGGACAATTAAGGGTCGTGTTTCTTATTATTTAATTTTCTGGCAATCCTTTCCGTGCATCATGAGAGAACTCTTGGCCTCAAACGTTGTGTCTTCTCAGGTAAAAATTGAGTGTTTTGGCAGAACCAGAGCCTACGTTTGGCAGATATTTCTCCCGTCCATTCATAAAAAAATACAGGTCTTTTGGCAACAGCGAAAAACCTTCCATTCCATTTTCACCTACTGTAGGTGCTCGCCGATGCTGTTAAATGATGGAGGCTCAGATCTGCCGGTAACGTGTGGCCTCATTTTACACCTCCACTGCTCCTTCATTCCCTGCTAAGTTATGCTAATGGTAAGCATCTGTGTTGGAGTTTGAGACAAAGAAAATTCTCCTTCAGCCTGAGGACACTTTTGCTTCCAGGCCGCTCACATGCTGCTTCTGTGCTGCATGGATGGAGAGTGCGAAGTCGACATTGAGAGAAACTGCCATAGCTTCTGCAGAGGTGATAAATCTGAGGCCAAGAAAACATAGAACAACGCAGCTAAGGAAAAGTAAAACCTGCCTTTCTGATACAATCTTTAAAACTACAATACTCAACGCTTTCTCCATAACCTTTGATTCACATTCTAGCTTTCAGCAAAAAAATAAAAATATTGTTGCTTTACTTTTGCTGTCAATTAAGACAAACAACTACAAATGTACAAATGTATTTAGGTATAAATACATTTTAAAATGCAGTAGCAAATAGATAGAAAAGAAGAGGTTATCTTTAGGACTATTCCAATACATATAAAAAACATTTCGTTAACTCCGGTAAGAATATTTTACTTGAATAAAAATCTATTTTTGCTACAGCAGTTTATTTAGCCAATTAAGTAAATTAGCAAACTAGCTAGCAGCCGATTAGGCTAATAACACGACAAAACAATTGTAATCATTTTAAAGGATAAGACTGATATTATAAAGAATTGCCAAATATTTAAAAGTTGTCCTGAAAATCCTTTTAAAATAATCAATAGAACACTATGGCACAGAGGAATAACATTTGCCAGTCTTCTGATACACAGTACTTGCTAGAATAATCCATGTATTCTTAGTTCTGGTCTTTTCCTGTCTTTTCCCAGCTTTGTCACAGTAATGAGATTGACTACATCTACTCCCCTACTCGCTGTCCTTCTCGCCTAACTCCAACAACTTCCAGCGATATCTCTTTGAATCTCCATCTCTGTTCTCCACCTCACCGTACGCCCCTCCATCTCTCAGCTCGGTGAAACCCATATGGGAGAGCTGCCGGCTGGGATGCCAGCGCCCAACCACGGTGCCCTCACCCTCCCGCCATCTGTCAGTGCCTCTCCAGTCTGCTGCAGGTTTGCCAACAGGACAATTCAGATGGTCAGCAGTCTCCTGCCACCGTGGCCACCCACCCTGGCTACCTCTGAAGGACAACAGGACAGTCTCTGTGACCTCTGCTTCTCTACTGTACACCGCACTGTCCTCCCCCCTGGATTTTAGGATAAGCTCATCCACACCAAAGAGTCAGGTTTTTAGCTTACTATTGAGGTATGTTCTGGCTTGAACAATACAAAAGCAAGCCAGATGAATGGAAAGGATTTGAGAGGGTAAAATATTTGATGGACCTCACTCTTCTAATTATGATTTACTTAAAGCTACGATTGTCAAAATTGAGGTAAGACATTGAAAGGCACGCAAAAAGTTAGTAACATAAAAAGCACGAGTTTTCATAAGAAAGAGAAAACATTTAATCTAACGTAGTTAACTAACAGGAATCTGCTTGAGGATCTCAGGCTGCGATCTGGCTAACAAGGGGTTAAAAGGTCTGAGCTCGGTCTGATGTTAGAGTCATTTCAGCTTAATATTATCCCAAATGTATTATTAATTTCAATACAATTTACTGTAAAAGTGCTATGCTATATCGTCTGCATTTTGTCAAACTTTGTTTCCAGGTTAAAGGGCGTTCATGACATAGGGAAGACTTGTTTTGTGTCTTTTCTCAGTTTCATGGGCTGTTTGGCTCATCTGAAAGACATGTGCTCGCTCGGGGTCCCACTGAGCTCCTCTCACTCCATTTCTGTCCCCACCTTGGCACTACTTCCTCCAGAAGTGGAGCGTGCCAAATCACCAGTCACCGTGTGCAACCACCGTGCAAAAACCAGGTGAAGTACGACTAAATACCTCATCCTTATTACTGAGAGTGTAAAACAAGCTCAGGCCATAGATTTGTATTTCTCTTGCAGGAGAAAATATTGAGGAATGAGGGAAAAAAAGTATATTTGCTTTCATTCTGTAAACCAGGAGGAGAACAAGCCATTCTGCTGAAAGGGGTACATTTAGCTATTATTAAACTGCTGGATTTAGAAATTCTAACCACACTGGATGGTTTGAACAAAAATGTAATTCTAGAAAAGGTCAGGGAGGAGAAATATTTTATTCTAAAAAAATTCAGAACAGTCATCTTGATAGCTATTTGTCCTACCTGAAGTTAAAAATATCACTTCAACCCCCGGTAAAATCTGCAACAATATTCTGATGTTTATGCAAATAAATCACAGTGCAATAATATCTCAGTGGTGGCGAGAGGTACGAGGGCAGCAGAGGGAAGGGAGAGACAAATATAGACAGATAGAGAAAGAGAAAAAGAGAGAGACCCCCCCCCCACATCCAACCCCTCACCCGTGCACCTGTTTGAAGACCCACAAGACTGCTGCAGCTCCCCAGAGAGCTCTAGATTGAGCAACGGTGAGGGTACCGAGACACGGGAAAACACATAAGCACTCTCCCCAAGTACCAACACACCAGTCCAGACAAGACAAAAAAACACCACAGATGTTCACACAGATAAACAAAAGCATGCACACAAACACAGAAAAGCAAAGTGGTCTCTTACTCACAGTTTTCAGTCTGGAAGTCTGGAACGAACTGCTCGTCATTGTCGGGAACTTGAGCTAAAGACAGAAGCAGAGAAGAAGAAGAAAGGGAATGATTGTTTCTGATGTTGATGGACAACGCAGCATTGATCACAGTTCCCTACAGCCCAATACCCTCCTCTGGCAAACAGCCTCCTGGGATATTAGGTTGGCTTATCCCAGCATTGTTCAACTCTGCTGTCGGGTAAAAACACAGCCGCGAAAAAATATGTTTTACAGCAAATCAGGGCAAGGAGCACTTTGTTTTCCTGGCTGCCCATGTATTGTAAAAGAAATATATATATATATATATATACTATAAGGTTTTAACAGCATTTGGTTACGGACCAAAAGATCTTCATCTTATCATGGGATTCTTTGTATTTTATTAGATCCTAGAAGTGTGTTTTTTAATAGAAAAATTACAATTCTGTATATTTGGCTTTTTAAAAAACTCATAATTTTAAATTAGATTTTCCCCGACAAATTGAAGAAAACTGAAAATTGGCCAATTGTTCGAATTACCATTTTTCTAATATCTTTTTCTAACCTCTCGCCAATGCTGGCTTCAATATTTTATAAATCAAATATTGTCAGCATTACCGGGAAATGCACCATAATTACAGTTATGTCAATATCAATGTACAAAATGACCTTGAAATGTGATGAAAAATATGATTTACAATGAACCATGTTTCTAACCAAGCCCAAGCCTGCTAGGGATTTAATATTTAGTTACCCATCTACTTCCTAATTCCACTTCCTGAGGTCGCCTTGTCCATTGACTGCTCCGCGGCCTCGGCTCTCGCTGCTTGCCAGCAGCCAAACACCCATTGTTAACTGTATCTAATTGGCTTCTTCCCTACTGCTGAATCCACCTGTACCTACCGAGTCAGGTCTGTTCCAAACCCTCCTGCTTCCCCTTCGCTTCAGACGCCCCTGCACTCAGGCTAATGCTAAAATAATGAAGCCTGCTCCACTACGGCTCCAATTAAACATGTACATATTTATATCACACATATTTGCACTCGCTGACAGTTCTCCGTGTCCCTCAAGTTCGTCTCTCTGGCAAAAGTAGATTTAAATGTGTCATTAGCACGTCTATTTATACGCACAAATAGATGGATCCTCATTATCACAGGACCAGTAACATGTCTCGACATGTCTAGAGATGATAAAAAAATAATCACTGATTTTCCAATTTTGTCACTTTTGATATGATCAGGGATTTTTTTGCTTGTTAGGTGTGAATTAAAAGGAGTAAACATCAAGAGAAGAAATTACTTCACATTTTTAAACAATGTAAAGCAGCGAGCTAAGACTTATTATTATAATTTGTCTCCAAATGTTGCTCTATTGAAAGCAACACTCGACAGTCTATTGTGTTTTTTCTTTTACATACACTTTACATTTGAACCCGGTTGATTTCCTATTGAGCTGGAAAACAACTTTGCTGTATTAGTCTATGCCGATGCTTTGTTAAAAGGGCCATGACATAAAAAATATGTAATAGAATAATAACCAAAAACAGATTAGATCTTAAATCATACTAACACCTTCTTAAAGCCTCAACACTTTGACTCTTATCATATGTTCTCCCTCTTTTTGCTTCAAACCACAATAACCAAACAGGCCAAAACCAACACAAGTTTGAAACATATGGTGGAGCTCAGCTCTCGGCTTGTCACTACAACACAAACAAATAGCAGAAACTTTACCAAACCTAACTTGGAAAAGGACAAAGAGAAGAGGGATGAGAAAAGAAGAAAAAAGAGAAGGCAGCAGTCGGTTTGTGTCCAAAAAGGAAGTACAGGATGGATGAGTCACCAGGCTCAGTCTGTGAATGAGCCAGCTGATTTCTGCAAAAAAACTCCTGGGGAGAACGGCAGAGCTGGAAATCTGCCGCCATTCACAAAACCAAAAAAACTGAAAAACTGAGGGAGGAGGACAGAAGGTAAAAAAGGAGTACGGATAAAAAGGGAGAAGTTGTAAACATGGTGCCTGAGCAAGAGAAACTATCTGAGGCGTTTCGTAAACCCTGAGACAGCTCAATGTGGGAGGCTGAGTTTTAAACAATTCTAACAATTGCCGTGATTTTAAAGAATGCTGTTAGCACCAGGGAAATCATTGCATAAACAAAATATACAATGTTCAGAAATCTCTAAAGGATGAGAGCTTTTTTCCTAGCAATAAAAGGTACTTAAAGTAGTCTTAAAAAAGCCTGGGTGGAGGTGCAGGGCAGAAGTGGTTTGTGGGGGTCAAGCAGACGCCTGTTAGCTGACGAACATCCTCAACCTCTCGGTCTTTGAGTCGGAAATTCAGTCTGTCTCATAATTCCTCCTCTTATTCCAATTACCTGAACTAATAAATCTTAGAAATTGGAAGGTATTCCTTTTCAACTTAATGGACAGGAAGTCATTTATTAAATCTACAATCTGGAAGCGTACATCATCACATTGATCCATGACAGGCAGAACTGTAATCTTTAACAGTAATACCTCTTATCAGCCGCCGCCGTCTCTTTCTCACTTTGGATACTGAAATATTAAAATCGTGTCTTATTCTTTTTCAACGCCCTGCGGTGTGCGAACGCCGCCTCATAATCTAACTGCTACTCAGATTGGGCTCAACTACTCTAATATCTGTTTCAAAGCATACTTTTCATTTTTTAAAAGCTGTGGGTTTCACTGCGAGCCTTTGTAAAGTGTTAAAGAATAGATGGAGCCTATACATGATTGAGAGTCTTATTCACCTGTGTGAAGCGTGCAAGCTAGAATTTCTCTTTTCCAGGGGATGTATTACAACTCAATTCTTATTTTATTTTTTTTAAGATTGAAATTGATTCAATTACACTGTGCACTTTAGAGTTCTACTTTACAGCTAGAGTTATGGCTTCACAACCAGAGCACTTACTGATGTGTTGAGATAGATACTGAGATTTTAGAGGTTGGAATTGTATTGGAACAATGCTATGAGGAAAAAATACAATTTCTAATTGACTAAATCTGCACAAATAAAATAGCATCATAAAAAAAGCGAGTATTTGTGCCTTTTTTCTTTTTACAGCAGATGTTGATTTGTTCTCATAATTTCTAATTATCCAAATTAAAATAAAGGACTTGAACTGAATCCAACATTAATTAAAAACATATATATGTTAAAAGCAGTGCATTTTTTTAAATGTAATACAAATATTAAAATAATGTAATAATTAGGTTTTTCTAATTCTAACTGTTTTATAAACCAGTATGGTTTGGTAAAAAGTAGATGCAGTCTATTGTTGGCTACAAAATATAATTTTTACATCAGGCTTGTTTTTAGACAAACAAAATCTGTTCATTTTCTTTACTTTTAATATTTATATACAAGACAAAACGACTTCATATCACGCTTTCCAATAAACTATGTTCTCACACTATACAACTTTAAACTGAGAATTTCAGTTTTTACTGCGACTTCTTCCAATAACTCTGAAAATGTTCTACTCTTCACTTTAAATCTCTGAGATATCCAACTGACACTTTACTGAGATACAAACTTTCATCTTACATGCAATAATAACAAGTGCATTGACTCTTGTTGAGAAAAATCTAAAGTCAGGCAAAGAAACCAAGTGTAACATGCACATGCACACAAAAAGACTTCAAAGTTAAAATAAGATGAACAATATTCACTACTAACCAAAACTTCGGTGCTGCAGACACGCTGGAAAGAGGACACTCGCACTTAAATCCTGAAGCATCACGTCTCAGTTAGACCACAATGAGCAAGTCTTGCCATTAGAGAAAAAATAAATAATAAAAAGCAAATAAACTGATAAATATATGTTTTTGAATTCAATCGTTGCTTTGAAAACTCATGTTTTTAAAGTCTGCGATTAAAAGAAAAATGATAGATCCAATCTTTCTTTTTTTTTTGCCGCCAAGATATAAAACTGAAGAAGACAAGGTGATGGTACAGCTGGAGAAGATAGAGAGGTGTGCTGAGTGGAAGCAGAGAGAGAGAGAGAGAAGGGGGAGAGAGAGCAGACAAGAGAGTGTGTGTAAGAGAGAGAGAGAGAGAGAGAGAGAGAGAGAGAGAGAGAGAGAGAGAGAGAGAGAGAGAGAGAGAGAGAGAGAGAGAGAGAGCTGGTAGGCTACAGCAGAGCTCTGGTGGAGGTGGTGGTGGCGGCTGGCGTGCAGCGCGTTAGCTCCTGCCAAAAGCAGAAGAGACAGTGAGCGTCGTAGAGCCTTCTCCTGGTAATTTGTGATGACACTCTCTGGGTAGAGCCTCCTCTGTCTCCCTCAAGACCCTCGCTCACAGTCTCTAATGTATGCATGACACACAAGGTGCCTCTTCCACACAGGCTTTTAATTGGACTGCGACGAAAGGCTTGTAACTCCAGGCAGCTTTTTCCCCCCTCACAACCTATCCATTTTTTTTCCCCCCATCTTTCCTCTTCTCTCTGCTCGAGATTTAAAAACACTCACCTTCTGCCAGCCAAGTCTCCTGCAGCTGACTGAGGTCCTGGAAGAGCTCTGGAGGCGGAACCAAAGCAGAGAACGAGACTTAAAGGATGTTATAAAAAAAATTAAAAAACACAATCAAAGCCCTGGAGGAGCATCAGAAACAACTGACTTCATTACAGCGGGCTGATAAGCCGTCGGAGCCAGTGGAGCTCAGTGGGCACGTGTGCGGCTAATAACAAGTCAATTTGTGTCTCTGACCACTGACAGTGGCTTGTGAGAATCATCACAGGCCGCTGTGTTGTAATTGAGATTCTGTAGTTAGCAGCGCAGGTGGCCACAAACCAATTGAATTTTGCTAAATGTTTAGGAGCCGTGAAATTAACTTCTCCCTCTGCCCTCTGCCTACCTTCAGTGTCCAGAGCCAGGTCCGTCTTAATGAATTTTCTCTTTCTGTCATTTGCTGGCCTCTCGCAGCTTGTTGTCTTTTCTTTCAGCTTCTGCAACAACAACAAAAAGAAGAGACACAAATCAATTTATTCTTTTCCTCATTGGAGCGTTGATTGTGTTGTTGGCTGCAGCAAATGTGCAAGTGAAATAGCCTCAATAATGCCTTACATTTCTGAAGACATGCAAAGGGACCTGAGCTTCATCCATCAGATATAACTAACCAGTTGTAACATGACATTCTGTGTTAAATAGTGGGCACCTTGTTTAGATGTTTAATATTTGATTATAAGATTAAACAAATAGTCACTTAAGGGAGAAATGGGTTTTAGCTGCAGCAGGAAGGAAGAAAGATTACATCAGAACAAAAAGGGAAGTATATGAAAGAAAACAGACAACAAACAAATATATTAAAGTTGATGTGAAAGATCTGCATCCATTATGTGTTGTTTTTTGGTCAACTAACTCACTTTGGAGTTACAGTAAGGCACTTGCTGGTCGCGGAATCTATCCATGTTGCACCGCTGTGGCTTTAATTGACGAGCGATCTGCAGTCCTCCAGTCTCCTGTCCGGTCACCCTTCAAAAAGCAACAAGGACAGAAAGCATAAAGTTATACACGGGTGGATTTTTCATTCATCAAGGCTTGGTTCTGTTCAGGAACCCTGTTGCTACTGTCTGAAGACGGAAATTACCGACAACACCTCCGGCGATGCTGTAAAGTTAAGTTGACAATCTGCAAATCTCGTGCGTAAACGAGGAGCGAACTGAACTGAAGGGCGCGCCAAAATGTTTTTGCCTGATTGAATAAACTTGTGAAGCAAAAGAAGTGACAAAAACCTAACATCCACTTACCCAGCAACCTCGCTTTCACCCGCTCGCTGAGTGCCACGGAGCGGCTGCAGGATCTCCACAGTGCCGGCTGCTGCCTGCGCTTCTCCCCGCTCACTGTGCTGCTTTCGAGCGGCTTGGCATCGCCTCCCGGGGCCTCCCATGGAAACAAGCCGCACTACGCTTCCTATTGGTTGCCAATGTCTTTCACTGGATCAGATTGCTGGCAGTCAATCACGCACGGCTGCAGGCGGTAAGCACGGGAGAAGTCAATGGTAGCATTATAGTACCAAGCGTTTTAAATTAAACAAAAAAGTAAGGTCTTTTTTAATATATTTTGAAAAGCAAGAAATGAGCACCAAACTTCAGCGTACTTGTTCATGCTTTTAAAGTTTCACTGCACCTGCCCAACCACTCCCCTCACACACACACAATCCTCACCGGGTCAAGTTTGTGTCCATGGTAACTGTGTTTTGAAGAGTCTCCAGAGGGACTTGCTTTAAGCCAGCTCTTCCCTCTCCTGTAAGGGATACTTTGTTCGGAGTGCCGAGGACCCGCAGAAAGCACTGACCTGGAAGGAAAGCTCAGGTCACCGGGCGAAACAGAGGACAGCTTAAACAAAAAAAACGGAGAAAAAACTGACACAAACACACATGGCCGATAGCAGTCTAACTTTAAAACTGGTTTAGTGGGGAACGTTGTAATCGTGTCTTTTTCCTGCAGCCTCCTGATTACCAATGGTGCAGTTATCAAACAGTGGGATGAGTTTTATTTATTTCCAAATAAAATGCTGATCACGAGGTAGAATTATCTCCCTGGCTTGAGTTCGAGTTTCACAATGAAACCAAAATCTAAACAAAACTATAAAATAATTCTGTCTGGCAAAGTGCTTAAAATTAAAAAGAACAGCAGATATGACAGTTGTGTTGATCACATTGTGATAATATGGCAGTTAAGGACTACTAAGTCATAATAGCATAAGCTAAGTCAGCTACAAGCTTGAAAGCAATTGTGTGTGTTCGAATGTGGCTCATTCACAATGTTACCTAAGTATTCATAATGCAGTATGGGCCATTTTGGAATAATGTGTATTACAGTAATGGTTTAAAATGATTGATTAATAAAATTAAAAAAGATAAAACAATGATGTTGTAAGTCATGTCTAGCTGTATCTGGATGCAATGGGCTAATGGAGGGAAGAGTTGGCACTATAAGCCTACATAACACTTCCGGAAGCTTGGACTGTTGTCATTGGTAAAACTGTGTTTCTACAGTACAACAATCAACAACGATTTCCTCTTCGTTGATACAGGACAGATCTAGGATAAATCCCAGAAAGGGAACTTTACCATTGCATTAAATCCTTGACTGAAAGACGGACATATCGGAAGTCAGCAGTGGTCACGCTGATGCCATCTTGGATCCACGCAGGGTTCCATTACAGTTGAAGTGGATGTGAAGTGAAGTACTGTGTCACTCCTGCTGAACTCCCCGAGGACGGAGAAACGCAGTTCAAGCGCAGGCGTCAACCCATCTGACACCGAGACACGCAGTAAACAAAGTGCCACCCCAGACCATGGGAAGGAAAGATTTTGTCCAGTTGTGAGGAAACGGCTACTTCAGTCTAATGAGGCCATACAGTGGGTGCCTGGAAGTCAAAACAAAAATTGACAATACTCTTTTGATATGAAATCTGTATCTTGGGGTTTGTTTTTTACTTATTTGTCCAGAATTGTTATCAACAAACAAACATATCATTTTCCAATCCAACTGACAATATTGGCACAGGTAATTTGTTTAAAGCAAAAGGTCGGCACTAGTCAACATTGCTAGCCATTTCTGCGTCCTAATTGATATAGCTATTTTTTCTGTGACTGTGTCTTGATTAACTCACAAGATAATGTAGCTGCAGCTAACAAATTAGCTCTTGTTAGCCACAGTTGAAAAGCGTGAAAATGTGTTGGCTAAAGTAGGGGGTCTAGCAAATGAATAGCTGGCCGTTTCTCAATCGCGAGGATATTGGCTTCCAAGCCAATATTTCAAGGATGCTACATCATCAAGTGGCGCAGCAGGACCGTTCCAATGTCCGGCATACTTGGAATTCCACCGAGGCCGCGTCCTTGGTTTGGGGGAAATTTCGAGGCTGCACATGGGTAGACTTTGCGTCCTTAAAATCCCCACAATGCTTTGCGCACGGACCAATTTCCCCAAATCTGTGGCGGAAAATGTAAGGCGGGGCCTCTCATATGACGCACACCTGCACACTTGTTAGCCTGTTCCACTCGTTGTTTTCCGAATGCCAGGAAGTATTCTTGCCTCGCTTCTGAAGCAAGTGACTCGGAAGACATGTGCTACCAAGCAAGCGTACTCGCGATTGAGAAACACCCGCTGTGTCTCCCTTTCTCTCCTTTGAATAATGCAGAATGAATGCAGCACTTAATGTGTGAGAGTCGCTGATAATTTAGCAGGTCTTGAAATAACATGCGCAAAAAGTAACACCTAATGGGAATTAGTGTTAACTTAAGGCCAACTAGCAAGCTTACCATACAATGTTGAACCCTATAACTCAACACCCTTCCTCAATTTTTACCCTTACCCGCCCATTAACCAGGGACCTTACACTGATGAGTCTGGGACCATCGTTTGATCCCCTGACCCCTAACTAACATAATTTAAAAATCTTGTTTAAGCTTATTTAACGTTGTTTCGTTTTTAGAATGTTATATATTTGACCTCTGGCCATGCATCACAAGCTCAGCCTAAGGATGCTGAACACCTCTGTTTTAACGGTAAAGTCCTTTAAAATTGTAATTATTGTTTGGAATTAACCTCACACAAGTTATTTATTGGAATACAAACATCACAGCACAATGAGTACTCTCAGATGTTAAGTGATGTAGGTGGAATTATGTGTTGAATCCCTAATGGTACACAACAAACTAGGCTTACAATATGTTAGCTTGGTGATACACAGCATACTGTAACAAAGTTAAAGAGAAATAAAGAAGAAAGTCAAGATTTATTTTTACTTGATGATTACTTGTATGATGCACAATAGCTGCAGTATCATTGTAGTTGTTCTTTTCGCACACAAGACGCAAGTGTAATTAAAATTCTGTTAGTCCATAACGTGTCAGGGGTCAAAGGTCAAAGAACACCAGAACATTATGTCAAACAAAAAAACTTTATTTTTTATTATTTCCATTATCACTTTACCCAGTCAACATTGGCAGGCAGAATGAGTTTTTATTTTATTCAGAACAACATGGTGCTAGTTCAAGAGTGAAAGCAGTAAGCGGAAAAATAAATAAATACTGTGTACAAAAATACAACCTCACTGTACAAACTCAGCACCGTACAAAGCAAAGACGCAGGAGACTTACCAGACCTCAGTCTCCACAGGCATATGGCACTTTTAAAGACTGAAACAGTCAAGCTTTAAATCATCATACAAAACAAGCAGGAGTGCAATTCAGTTAACACAAATATTTATCAGGTTTGTTTCACGCTGGTAGGTCTGTAAGAAATCCACCAAAATGTGTCTTTGGTGAGAATGAATGAGATAAATACTATTTAAATGCAGACATGTGTTGAATCAGTAGCTTTACCACCCAGTATAATGCCATGTTTTTATACAGTAAGGAGATCTTATGAATTAAGCTGTTTGAAACAAATGAAAATGTTTTTTGTATTAATGTGTAGCCAGCATGTGCATACTCAGTGGCTGTAAAATGCCTCTGAAACTGTAATTATTAGATGGGATTGATTTTAAGTATTGATTCTTTAAATCAAGCATGTAGCCTACTATATATATATATGTCAATAGTCATTTTGTATTTAGACCTTAAATTGGTCAATATACGCTTTGATGCACAGCGGACTGTAAACACTCAACCGTAGACATTGGAGCAAATCAATGACCAGAGGAGGTCAAACTGCCTCTTGTGAATATCCAACTATAGAGTCACTGTAACAACATACAGTATAAACACTTCTCTTTTTTGTTGCATTTGAACCTTTCTCCATTTAAAAGTTCCTGAGTACCTGCTCAGAAACACAGGATCTCACAAAAATGCAGCCATGTTATGAAGTTTGATATGGTTAAAATGAGCAGCACTGCAGACGTAGATTCAAAAAACAATCAAATTCCACAAGTGTCACAACAGATCTTGGTCACTCATGCAACAGGAAGTGTTCACGCAGTTGGTCAAACTGTCTGGAAATCTCTCGTGCAACATAAAACAAAAAGTGTCATGCATTTTTTATGAGGATCAATATTCATTCCTAATCTTTCCACTGATGGAGTAGCATCACAGCAGATCACAACATGACAAGGATGACTTGCAGGAACCATTAAAAGAAACAAAAGTTACTTCCTCTCTTTTCACTACTTGAAGCCATTCACGAGTGAAGCGCTGAAAAAATGCTGATCAAATAAACGTTACTTCTTACTAAACACTTACTAAGGATCAGCTGCAAGCTCCAGATATGTCAGCTTCCACAACGACAAACTCTTTCTCTGTCCATCATGCATCAGTGGAATGCAAATGCAAAAAACTGTTAAAATACATCAATAGCAGCAAAGTATGAATAAATAAATAAATACATCCTATCACAAAAAAACACATTCATTTGTGGGCTTTTTTCCCGCATGGCACATGATCACAACAGCAAAAAATAAAAATACTTTTATAAAATGTGACTTCCCGAAATAGCTTCAGTATTTTTGGAGCTAAACTACTCTACACACTGTAGTTTGAAGCATCAGTTCTAAAACACACCTCATTCTGCATCGAATAAAAGCTTCTCAGTGACCCCCAGCCACCGGCAATACATACTGAACCTACAGTTTGCTACTTCCACTGCGCTGTCAAACAGGCATCAAAGACCCTCCTTCACTAACAGGCCGAGTGACGATCAACTTGTGGCTGCTGCTCTGCAGCTGATTGTGGAACTCAAAGGTCTTGAAGCGATCAGTCTTTGCTCTCAGTGCGCGTTCGTCTGATGACGGAGGAGAAGAAGCTTCGGCATTGTGGCGCCCCAATTAACATGGGAGCCTGGTTCTTGTGGACGATCTCAATCTGAAGATGGAGAGAAACAAAGGAAGCTCTGGTTCAGTTTGGTGCTGCTTGCTGCATTACAAACAAGGATGTAAGGTAATTAGTGAGTTAATGCTGCGTGCGTACCATTTCCTGCTTTGCGCG